TGTGTGTGTCCTCTGGTGTGTGTGTGGCGGGAAAAAATTCCCCGAGGGCGTGTGAAACCACCCGAAATATCTCCGAAACCCGAGTTTTTTTTTTTAATCGGAAAAAAATCATCGGTGGGAAATCACGAGAGGAATCGATTGCAGCACTTTATGTTTGAATCGTACGTTTGGATTGTCCCCAAGAAACTAAGCAAAATACCCTCCAATATCCGGTTTTTTGCCCATAACTCCGTTATTTTTTGTCAAATTGGAAACCGGAAAAAAATCAATGGTGGCAAATCACGAGAGCTGTCCAAATCCGGTCTCAGATTTTGTGTCTGCAAAAAACACCGCCCTCCAGAAAGTAAGCAAGATTTCTTGAATATCTGAACGTATCGAGCGAAGGACGAAAAAAAAAAAATAACTCCGTACGAAGATGCGCCTTAAAACGTCGATTTACGCGGTATTTTCAGATTTCGGAATAAGTACCCCCACCCCGAGAAAAGTGCACCTTTGTGCAGGGGAAAATATTGTGAATATTTGCCCGAACGGACCATAGCTAAACAGTTCTCGTGAGCACCACCAAACTTCGACGTTAGCACCGTTGACGAGGCGAAGGGACGGCTGGACCCTTGTCGCGGTAAAAATAGAATTCAGCACGCACCGCAGGAGGAAGGTGGGGCATGAGAAGAAATAAAAAGAAGAAAAAAGCCCTGGTGTTTACCCCCTCCTATGTGACCCTGAATGGTTGTAGTAGTACGAAAAAATACACTGAAAAGTGTAGTACTCTACGTACGCTGAAAAGTGTAGTACCCGTCTCACCACAAAAAATGGGGGGACTGTCGCCATAATAAATAGGACGAAAACACACACACACACACACACACACTGCTCGAGAGCAACCACCATTGCCGCGCTTTTTAAGTTTCGCGCCGCGACACCACCGGGGGCCTGAAGAAGGATATGGCTTCGTGACATGGAGCGAGAAGAGCAGCAACACAAACACTTTTGGTGCCGTTTTGGTTGGATCAAGTCGAGTCATTCCCTTCGTCTCGGGTGTGCTTTCTCCGATCGCTTCCTAAATGTTTTCCAGCCTTTTTTTTATGTCCTGTTTAGAGATTTTAGCCGCCGTCCGCCGGTGTTGTCTTTGTTGTTGCCATTTTTCCCTTTGCGGTTGCTTGTCAGGTTTACATCCGGGACATGACGACCGTTACGCCGCTCATGCTGGCGCTGTTCGGGGGCTCGCTGCAAGTGCACCACGAACGGCAGGTAGGTTCGTTATCTGCCTGCCGTCGGTTATACGGTCTCCGACGCTGTGTACATTGCGAAGAATACGTGTGAACCCTGTGTGCTACGATACGAGTATGAGGTTTGCGTCCCATATCGTTCGAAGCCATCGTGGCATCAGTTGCATTAATCCAGGTGTACAATATGTCGGGCAAATGACGGGAAATGTTTTTTCTGGGGGGAGATTTGGACACGCGAAACGGTGCCGAGTTCACTCAGAAATTGACCCAAAACTCTCAGTCAGATTGGTCGGACCCACTATGTGCCGTTTTTCTGACGGCCAACGCGTGCGGCATACAACAACCCAGCTTCCCGAGACGGCTTCTGCCGTTCGCGTCACCGATTTCTGTTCCAGAGGATGGCCGTTCGATGTGCGGGACACTCCTACCGGCCAGCTTCCACCATCACTCCCACGAGGAAATCAACCATAGATGTGTGACCCAAGTCAGCCATGGGTTGACAGCCGCCGACGGTTGTACGCGCTGAAGCAAAGTCTCGAGGCGTAGATCCAATAACCGCGCGGGTTGCGCGATTTTGTGAAGCGTGACAGTCCCGTTTGGATCGGATTACACGAAGATGGAGACGAGACAACGGCACATGGTTGTACAGATGCAATATCGCTCTTGCTTGATATCCAAATTTTGCACTCACCCGTAGTCCTGTGTGCTCGGTGATAATTCGACAGCACAAAGTCACAGAGGAAATGTGCTGCATCGTGTATTGCAAGGACCATACCGCACGTTGACTGTACAAGCCAAGTGAACGCCTTCTTGACCCCCCAGCACACGTGCGGGACCCTGTGCCACATTTTCTACCGACACTTCACAGGCGATCACCGTCGACAGCTGGCTCCACTTTAGAGCGGCGCGTCGGGCGGCGACCCTCGTCAAGTACCTCCGGGTGCACATGGAGAGGCTGCTGCTGCGGAAGATCACGCATCCGCAGGAGGACGTGTCGGACAACGGCCGAGACCTTATTCAGGCAAGGCGAAACACCAACACACGTGTTGCTACCTGCGCCGAGGACAAGGCCAACGAATCACGGCAACCAATTTCAATGCCCAATTATATATTTCCGCGTCATGTACGAAAATGTATGCATACAATAGTCGCAGCAAAGATTGCCTGTTGAGGATGCTAACGCAGTTGCCTTCAAGTCTGTACAAGTTACGCTCGTGACTGCGCTGACTGAGTACGTTAAGCACCCGCAGGCACGTCGGATCTTTGCGAATACGTATTCTTCAAAGGCCGACGCTGCTACGCAAGATCCATTGCTTTTCCCCGCCTGTGGCTGGAACCTTTCTCCCCCGTCCTGCGGAGTGCACCACGTCGTCTAAGCCGCAGATATGCACCTTGCTTTCTTAGGACCCCAACCCACACCCCTCTATTCCCGTCTGCGACGATATCGGCGGTTTCAATCTTCCTCGTGTAAGTACACCCGTTGACCGCCCCCCCCCCCCCCCCCCCCCCCCCCCCCCCCCCCCCCCCCNGACGAACCAGCTTTTTTTTTTCGCGGCTTGTCGCCTGCCTCGCTCCCGCACGAAAAACAACGAGAACAGTCGGTGTCTACCTTGCTGAGATCGGGGGCGAGGCGAGCGGGCGCCCAGCAAGACTACAGCACCGAGATGCTCGCAGCGGAGATCAACGGTGTGCGGCAGGGAGGGGGTGGGGTCGATGGGTGGGGCGGTGGCAGTGGCGGCGGCTACGGGCGGCAGCAGCAGCAGCAGCAGCAGCAGCAGCAGCAGCATGGCCGACAGGGTCAACACGAACAGGTAGTGGTCCTGATTGCGATGGTGTCGGCAACGCCCTACTAGTTCTAAGGAGTACTTGGCACTGATTTTTTTTTTGTTGCTTTCGGACCACCCACCTGGGAACTCAACGAGCTCGAGTTCGGACCACCACCCACCTGCGATCTCAACAAGCCCGAGTTCATCGCTGCTGACAACTTTGTTTTTTCGTGGTGTCATGTTTGGTGCCCATCACCTCTTTTTGTCCTTGCCCGTCCGTCGTCTTTGTGATTGGATTTTTTTTTTATGTAGACCACGGCTCTGGAGACAGACCAGAAACAACTGCGAGTGATGCAGCGCCGCGAGCAGGAAGACGCGGTTCGCAGAAGCGCCGTTCCAGCCGGCGGACACGCCAGCTTCAACCGCAGCAGCAACGGCGGCGGTAACGGCTACAGCGGCGGCGGCGGCGCTTCGAGGTCGAGGGACACGACGGGCGGCGGGGTCAGCGAGGAGGAGCTGTTCGCGCCCCTTCGATCCGGCCTCCCCTCCACCGACACGCCCGTCCGCATCCCAACGGCAACCGCTAGGCCGTCGGCAGGGAGCAGTACCGGCGGTGCAGGAGGCGGCCGGGGCGACCGGTATCGTGACGACAATGACGGCCAAGGTGGTTGGGGACGCAGGGGCGGCGGCGGTGGGAGCGGCAGAGGTCGGGGAGGGGGGAGAGGAGGCAGGGGGGGGGGGGGGAGGAACGGGGGCCGGGGCGGTGGCAGAAGAGGTGGACGGCATTGAGGAGAGGTTTCCGCGTGTGTCTTGTCAGTACACCCCGAAATGGACCGTGAGTCCCATCGCGGGTAAGGAAGCGGTTGTCTCAGCAGTAGCAGTTGCGGCAGTTGCGCTGGGCAGGCACACATGAACGCTTGCTCTGTTGGGTGCTGGTATTCTCGACGTTGGCGACGGCGCTGAGTTCGAACGGGAAGAGATGCCTTCGTGCGAGGTATTCAGCATTGTGTACCGTTTTCGTTCGTTCGTGCACCGGTGTATTCTCTTTGCGAAATTGGCCGTAGTGGCTTCATGCGGCCTCAGCCGTTGCCGGGTCAGCCGGTCGAGAGTGCAGCCGCGTGAGACGCTTGCTCGCTCGAAAAAATCGCGCTGTTGTAGTTCGGTTACCTGGTTTTGGCTGAGTTTCTCACTAGCAGGGGGTGTAGCCAAGACTCTCATGTTTTACCCTCTCATGTGTCGACAAGTTTCTCAGAACGTTTTCTAGGGGTTAACTTATGTTCCTGTCGGCTAGTTTCGCGCAAAGCCAAGGAGAGGGATGAAATCACTCGACCGGGGTGGCCGATGCAGGAGGACAGAGTAACAAGATCAGTGTAGAGACGGAGCGTACGACAGACCTGATGAGGCTTTGGTCGGACCGCCATGAAGCCCGGAAATGCTCATGGTCAGATGCACTCGTTTGTGCAATAAGCATCACTCCCTTGCCGGAAGTACCGCCACCTGCTTTGCCGCAGCTCTACAGTATTGTAGTTTCGTGTCAGATGTACTCCGCTTTTTGTATGCCCCACGTCACCGGTGAGCGCAAGGTTTCCGCAGTATCCTAACTTTCGATCCTTGCACAGTCACTCCGTTGCGACCCGTTCAGCACGCCTGGCGCTTCTCTGCCCGTGTGCTCTCTTTGCCATACCCTCGCCCCCCCTCCTCTCGTTGCTCTGCAAACTTGCCGGCTGCGAGGGCAAACGTACTAGACGCGGGATTCGTAAACAGTACAGAAAGGTAATTAACGGCACGCTCGTCTTGTCTCATCGGCGCGAGCACGGCGTACGTCTCGAGCGGCGAGACTAGCCGGAAGGCTTCAAGGCCGACAACACTGACACCAGGATTTCGAACGCACGGTGGCATTTGACGTCACCTATCTTCGGACAACCCTTCCTGCTGTGATGTCTATCCGTAGGCCCCTCTCGTATCGGGTTTGCAAGGGCGAAAATCTGTCGTTCCACTTTCTGGCGCACCCCCAAGAGCAAAATAGTGCACCCAGTGTGGTGTAGTCGCCACCATCCTGGTCAAACAGCACGTGTTCTCTTGCAACCAACGGCATGTTAGGAGAAGACGAGTGTTCTAATGCAGCTGCCTGACTGGAAGAGATATTTTCCATCGGCGAAGGGGGCAGTGCTTGATCGCACAAACGGCGCGTTCTTGGTCCTTCCTCTGTCTCTGCGTCTTCTCTTTCCTTGTGGTCGAGGGGGCGGTGGCGGCTTGGCGTTGGATACTGAATATCTCTCGCAAGCCGTCGGCGAGGTTGTTGTTGGTCCTCGCAATGGTGTCGTGCTGTGGTTGTTCGCATGCGATTGTAGGGCCTAGTCGCCTGAATGTCGCCGGCGTTGCTGTACCGACGGAACAGCGTTTCCGTGTCCGCCGGGGCGGCATCGCACCACAGACACCGAGCAGCGGTGACAGCAAGGGTGCTTCCACATGCGTTTCCATGCAATTCGTCATCCAGAATATTCGAGACGGCCGAAGCGGATTGATCTCCTTTGGTTTGTAAAGCCCTTTCGATGGAACAGCTGGCGGTCTCTTGTGCATGAAGAAGCACATTCCCGAGTTTGACGAAGTCTGCCTCTCGCAGCACGGGTGATTCTCCCTCTGAATACCCCCTGTGCTTTGGCCTGGAGTTAGGGATCGGGACCGATTCGTGCGGGAGAGAGGCACAGCTAAAGGGCGATCCATCATTCATCTGTCTTCAAAGCAGTTTGATTCTTCAATGTATCCGGGACAACACCGGTGTTGGCGGGTGTAAGCACTGCATGGCGCCAACAATAGAGCTCCAACGTATCAACGAACAACCGGCAAGGCATTCACGGTATTCATATGAAAGTGGCTTTCTCTGTCGCCGCCGTCGAAAATGGAAATTTGTCACGACTCACAGAATATTCGCGTTACGGGGCTCCCCAACTGTGTCACAACTGAAAGACGGGAGGATAAAAACAATTTCAAAGCTAGCTGTTTCAAAGCTAGCTGTATCTATTTATTGGAGGACCTGGCCAAGAGGAACGTGGAGTGTAGCGAAGACAACGCTTACGTGTGTAATCCCGCCGTGCGTGCCACTCCAGAGGCGATAATGCGCTGCGCACGAGAGAGGTGCAACTGGAGGAGCCGCACAGTCTCATCGCGAGCTCTCACAAGCTGTGCCTGAGAAAACGGTCAAAACCAGGACGACGCACGTTTCCAACACTGAACTCGTTTCCTGAACGTGGGCGTTCGTGTCCCTCTCAACTTCATTGCTGCGATATTTCGAAAGAAAGATGAACCAACGTTAATGTGAAGCGACTGACGTATCCCGCAAGTGGAGTCCGGACACGACAGCGTGGAGAGGAATATAACATTTACGGGCCCCGACATCACGTGCACAACCGCGCAATGGAAAACACGATCGAACCTGTTGTCACAAGGGTGTAGCACAGCGTCAATCCTGCGGACACCCCCTCGCCCAAACCCAGAAGTACCTCAAGTGATTCCGCCGCATTTCGAAGGGCAAGAAGTTTCGTCTCCTGCCTCTGTCGAAGTCCCGATTCCAGCATCGGTCTTCGGTATCTCGACGCATACTTCCTCCTGACGGAGTCCTGTTTACTGCGGCAGGAAGGAGAAGGAACTGTCACCACTACAAACAATGATCATTCGGTTAAATGTTGCATCCGGACACCGAACTGGAGGGGATCATGCGCGGAGGATTGGTTAGGGCGACGTACTCCGCGCTTTAGGTTTGAAGGTTTGATAAGTGTTCTGGAAAACGCTACGCCAATCCAAGAACATCAACGAACCTTACCTTCAGGAAGCCGAAATTTTATAATGAGAAACATGTTATCTATCTTCCAGACGGTCGCAGCTGTCATCGACGTGCTTCGCCACAAATCACCTAACTGAATTGGTGGGGTCTATCAATGGAGCAAGACTCGTAATTCTCCTGCGAGATTCGAGAAAGGGACTCGTAAAAGATCAACACTTCGGAGACTCACTTCGTTGTCAATATCTGACTTACAAACCACGCAGGGTTGCTCTCTGTCTTGCCAACACTGATCTTGAGCGCTGTGGCTAGACAAAATGGCGCTCCTTACGACCTTAATACAGATAAATTTCCATCTTGGCTAACCTGGCTTGTAGAGCCTCTCTCCTTACACCGTTCGCCCGCTCCGACTCTCCGATTTGCCGCAACGCCGCCTCTCTCACGACGCAATCGAGCACGTGGGGGGTGATTCTGTCGAGCGCGTTATCTCCGGTGCATGCCTCTGCATGAGTTGAACGCTCCAGCTACGCGAGCGCGCAGTCAAAGGGAAATTGGGGAAAGGAAGCGGACAGTGGAAAGCGAAACAATTCTTTCTGTTTGGCGATGCCATGAGTGATGTATGTGTGCAAGGCATCCGCTTCCGTCCACGTGGTTCGCGGGCGGGGAAATCGTTGGCCAGATTCTACGCGTAGCCGTCCTTGGAAGCCTCCTCGTACCATTGTGAGAATTCTTCTAGCTCACGTTTTGCACAACTCACGCCGGGCCAGCTTCAATAGTTTGCACCTGACGCCTCCTGTAGCCCGCATCTGCTAATGTCCGTTCTACGGCAAGTATTCGTGCCGAAAATATTTCTTCCGCCTCCACGCCGACAATGGGCAGCCGGCTGGGACTGCTATGCAGCATAGCAAAGGTCTTACTGTACACGAGAATAACCGCCATGTGTGCTTCCCATAAGCTACGAAGGGAAAACAGGGCACGCAGCCTCTTGAGCCACGGAGGGTGCCAGCCTCCGTCCGCGGGGAATGGTGCATCATCTAGAGAAGTGAAGAGAGGAAGAGAAACAGATTATTTTGTCTCTTCCGTGCGAGTATGCGTGAACTCTTCATGGACTCGTGCCCTACGCGAGAATGACCGTGACACGCCCGGTATCACTTGTCACCTTCGCAACTTCCGCCCGGTGATTAGCCTGCAGCCGTCTTTTCTGCCGCCGGAGTTTTTCCCTCACCGCGTCAATTCGTACACCCCACGCCAACCACACCGCCACCATCGCTCCTCTCATATCTCCCACGAGGACCGGTAGACCACCACGAAGGTCGCATCCTCTGTTGGGGTCGTTAGGGCATGGTTGAGAACCCGTGTTTTCCGTGCGACGTGCTTTTGTGCCTTGGTTAGAACGTGACCAATCCCGCTCTCTGCTCTGTCGGTTGCTTGGTAGTCGCCGCCGTCGCCGTTGTCGCCGCTGCCGCCCCCGCCGCGGCGACCGCTGGTTCCTTCCCTCAACCGATGCTCGCTCAGGGGAGCTGCCGCCGGGAGAATCGCCGGCTTCGCAGGCATAGAACACGTACCCCCTGGAGGACCGGACAGACTGGGGGGTCGGCCAACGAGAGGGTGAGCAACCTTGCGGCGGGTCTGCCGTACCCTGGTGCTTGTCGCTATGATGGGCGGAAGAGGAGGACGGAATTCTCGTTGCCTCTTTGTGTTGGCTACAGGTTTCGAAGGTCGCCCTCGACCTGACACTTTTGTTGCTGCTGCTGCTGTTGTCGATGTTATAGATGCTGGCGCTGTCGTCTTCGATGTTGTAGCTCATGTTGTTGTCCTCGAGCTCGGGCCTTGTCGGCTTGGTGTGTCCTGTATTGCCCCGTTGACAATCACTAGACTACAGAAGTAGACAAGTTGGACTGTAGCATCTCAATGGTCTGTAGAGTAGCGCAATGTCCGGGAACCACGTCGTACGGTGCTGCGATCTCCTTACCTCTGCCACCTTCCACCCGCCTTTGACGTGCGTCGAGTCATGGTATATATCCTCGAACTCGCTCTCCCGGATCACCTGGTAGCAACATGCAGCTGAATGTGAAGATGGTGGGATTCCCGAACCGAAACATGTGGGGTTCTCTTGCGAACCGAAACATGTACAGCAGTAGCACGTTTTTGGGGTTCTCTGCTTCTCTGCCCATGCGGCAGCATGGACGCATGGGCACATGGGCATCCCCCTTCGGCGGAAGTGTCAGGACGTCCGGAAGCCTAGTCTATTCTGACCGTTTTGGTGAGAACCTCCCTCTGGGCGACGTCACATTTGCGCATAACATGTGTCATCGGCACCCGAAACCCGAAACGGCGACACGGTTTGGTTTGATTTTCGAACCGGCACATGCCCCAGCCCAATTCCATCTCTCCCTTCTCCCCTCTCACACCTCACACTCATCACACCTCTACGCCTCTATCGTCTACACTTCTCGTCGGCTTCATCCTTCAAACTATTGATGTGGAGAAGCAGACGCCACAACGATAGGCAAGGCGAAACACGAGGGAAAGTGGCCTGCTGGTGCGGGAGTTGGGTCATTGGGAGACACAGCAGCAGTGTCGCTGCCATCTTTGACATCTCGTCCAAATAGCCGGCAGCACCAAGATTCCGTTCAGTGCCGTTCGACATACTAGCCGTGAAGAAGCTGTCCGGGATATTTTGCACGCGTACGGACTGGGCACGCCTGAGCGTGGGTGGGTGCGCTGCATAATCCACG